ACCAATAACTAGGAATACCATAGCTTCGATGAGAGTCAAACACGATAGCATCAGGTGTCCACCTACAAATTTATAAAGATCACAATTATTTTTAATCTTAAGGCATAAAGACGAATAATAAATATATTTGATTAAAAATAAAAAAAATAAAAACATTACCGCTTATCATTTGCATTCACAAAAAGTGGTGCATAACTAACCATTTCGACTAGATCACTGCATTAAAACGTGAGAAGAATTAATAAAAAATTTGAATATGAAGATACAAATCAATAAATAATAAATTATTACAAGAGTTAAAAAAAAAATAACAAACCTATTCTTTTCCAAACCCATTAAAAATCCAGCTTCACCAAGGGCAGATAAAAGAGTGCCGTTTCTAGCATCATCTTTCCAAACTGCGTACTCACTAACAAAGGCTTTGGCACCGGTACGATTTTGATAATCAAATTTGTCATGCAATGAGAAGATATCATGGGAAGATGTATATTTATGGTAGTCATAAAAATCAGCAGGCATATCCAAGGGACTTTCAGTGGCATCACAATTTGTGATCATTTTTATATCTGGATAATGATGTTTTATAGCATTATAAAACTTGAGATAATTTCCAAGATAGTTATCTTTGCCACAGTCTTCATTTCCAATCGCAACATATCGCAAATCAAAGGGTTTGGGATGTCCATATTTAGCTCTTAATTTGCCCCATTTTGATGTGACAGGACCTCTTGCAAACTCAATTCCATCTAAAGCTTCCTAAAATATGAAAAATAATAATCATATTTAGGATAAACAATAAAAGATGGACTTTTATTGAAAAAGATATGAAAAATTAAAATTTATACTTGCACAAAAGGACCGATGTTGGATGTATTGACTTGATCATGATGACTGATACCATTGTTAAATACCCATACTGGAAGTGTCTTAAGATCCTCCGCAAGCTATTCAAAAATAACAAGATATAACATGAATACACGTGTAGTGTAAAAAATAGAAGAACCATATTTAGAAAGAACTTAAAAGAAACATACTTGAAGAAATTCTAGATATCCAAAGCCATCATCAGTCCAATAACCCCATACATCATTAAAGTGACCAGGTCTTTTTTCTCTTGGTCCAATGGTGTCTTTCCATCTAAATGCATTTCTCAACCAATCTCCTTCTACGTAGCAACCACCTAATACATGAAATTAATAGGAAAAAAATAGTTGTCATAATATCCAAATGATAAGTTATTTTAAATAATCCTTATCATGTAATTTATTTTATATTTATGCATACCAGGAAATCTAAGAAATCTTGGTTTCAAATCTGCAACCATTTGAAAAAGATCCTTTCGAAAACCATGTCCCTATACCAAAAGAAATAAAATGAGTAACAGAAAAAGGAAAAAAGGTGTTATTATACATATGCTTAAAATCAAATATGTCAAACCTTGTGTGTGTCTAAAGGCAAAGCTGAGATTTGATCCAACCATAATGTTCCCTGTTTGGTTGTTGTTATCTGAAGACTTGAATTAAAGTCCGATGCCTTAGCTTTGAGAACCAATTGTATCTTTTTCCAATTTGGAAGATGCTTTCTATTTAAAAAAGAAAAAAAAGAAAACAAAACATTAAATTACATGACGTGCTAAATATATAAGAAGACAGTTATTTTGCAATCAAACCGTTATTATTACTAACCTAATGTTAGCAGAAGCCAACTCTTTTCCATTTGCTCCCACAAATGCAATTTTCAAGTCAACTGGTTTTGGTGATCTCGCATAAAAAGTTACCTTATATTTCTTTCCCTTCTGAACATTCTAAATTTAAAAAAAAAAAAAAAGTCAAAATAGTGGTAAAATATGAGAAATAGTAATACAAATGAAATATTAGAATTATAGTCTCACCATGCCCCAAAATCCAGGATTAGAGAGACCAACTCCCACTAACGAATTTTTCATGATATCCAATCGTGCTGCAATTTTATTGCGAGGAAAAGGAGATGAACGCTCTGTTGTCACACGTATAGTTGACTCATCTCCAATAATTGACCATGGGAATATATTTGAAGGAATTTGACTACCCCCAGCTTCAAAACCTTGATGAGCATTACAAATACATGATTAATAAATAATAAAAGGAATATATAAAAACTCTGAAGGAACACAAAATTGAAATAGTTACCTGCATTGTCAACAAGCTCAGCCCACAATCCTCCAGCTCCCGCATGATTAATTTCCTAAGGAACAAATAATCAGATATTTTACAATTCAAAATCTGTATAGAAATCCATGCACAGGAACGCATATTCACCTCGAAAAATATTCCAAAGAATGTTTCTGGAATTTTCCTTCCAAATTGAGCATTGACAACTAAGGAAGGGGTTGGATTATCATCAGCAATAACGTGGAAAGCAAAAGAAAAAAGAACAAGCAAGAGAATCGAAAATGAAGCTTTAATAAAGAAAGCCATCTCTCTTATCTCTCTTAGTCACTTGAGTTACTTGTGGTTTTTTCACTCTTCTCTGCACGGTTTATATAGAGACGAGGAGTCTTATCGAAAAAATATATAGAGATTAGGATTAGGATCGAGATATGGATATACCGTTATATTAAAAAAATGTAATCATAAAATTATCAGATAATGAGTCTCTACAAAATCTCCAAGATATTCTGGAACTAGTCAAGCAGTTAATCTAGGTAATTTTTATCGTATGTAAGTTCGGTATTGATGGGGTTAATTTTTTTTAAAAAAAAAACATGAATGAGGTTATTTTTTATAATATATAAGTTTTTTTATTGATGGAGTTAAATAGAGGAAGAAAAATTAAAATAAAAATAAATGTTTTTGAAAAATGTGTTATATAAAAGTTTGATGGATCGAATATTAGATCTAAAACCCTTCTTATGAAATCATTCAGATCTTTTGGATTTATTTCCATTGTTTCTATATTGATTTCATTCTGTTATAGAATTGTTTATGTTTTTCATAATAATATTAGATCTAAAACCCTTCTATTTTTTCTTATACACGCACATAAATGGCACATATAAATTCATCATCTAAAGATTAAACTATCAAATTCATGTAGTTCATAAAATAAAATTAAACACTCTTACTGGGACTTTAAAATTAGTAATTAATTTTTGTCATCGAATTCACATCACTGTGGAGGTGTTTATGAAAAAAATAAAATAAAAGAAGAGTCATTTTTATATTTTCTATTGCTTGACTCAATTTCATGCAGCCATGCACTGCAGTCACGTTACACAATCGCACACTAGTATGTGTGTGTATTAATTTTAATTCTCTGGGTATGTTGGTTTCAGTTTTTTATAAGAAAATCAATCTGTTTAAAAACTAAACCTTGATTAAATTTTATCATGTTTTCAATTTTAAAATAATTGGAATTACAAAATAAATTTCTAATTATTTTGACAAGCTACCGAAATCAAAATATTTAGATGGATGTGGTAGATAAGAAAGAATATCATACAAATATATGAAAATACGATATCATAAAATTTAAAAATCACTAAATAATACTACTTCCGGTCCTTAATATAAGACTTTGTTTGAATTTTATTTTGGTTCTAAATATAAGACCCCAATCCACTTTGTTTCTCATATTTATACATTTTTTTTCAAAGTAGCCCTTCTAACAATGATAGTTCTAGTCAATACACTTGATTAGTAAGGATATTTTAAGAAAGACAATATCTATTTAGGATAAATAACTAACTCAACTTACTTTATTAATCTCTTCAAATTAGTCAACTGGCTCTTATAATTAGCATTGGAGGTGGTAAATATTATTTTGTGAACGAGGATATGTAAATATATCATAATTCTCAGTATCACTAAATTATTTCTTGTTTGGCCCAACTCAATATCACTAAATAAAAATTAAGCCCTACAACTGCAGCCAAACACGATATAATTTACTATCTTTTCTATAAGATTGAAAATAAAAAACTTAAAAGTTAAAAACTGAGGCCCGATTTATTGACGTTAGATTATTCTAAAGACATTGACTCTGTGTTTGTATTTGGCTAATTTCAAATGTCAACACTGACCCTTTTCTCAAATCTTAATGCTCTCTCTCTCTCTCTCTATATATATAAACATTTTATGTATTACCCAAAAAAAAGATTTTGTATATACGAATTTTAAAGTTAATAGTCAAATCATATTAAAATAATCGGGAAGTTATGATGATGAGTGACTTAGTTACGAAAAAAATTAGGATAATTGGAAAGTTGTGATAGGGGAATAAGTTACATAAACACAAAATTAAAAACTGAGCCGTGAAACATTGACCTTAGATTATTCTAAAAAAATTGACCCTGTGTGGAAGTTAGATTTACATTTGGATTTGGATTTGCATTTTGACTAAATTTATTATCTGGGTTGATAAAAATTTATGGATTCGGATTAGATATAAATCCAGGTAAATTTTATTATCCATCCTGAGCTAATTATTTCAAATGTGAATCCTGACTTTTTTTTTTTCCCAAGTTTTATTATTATGCTCTTTTTTTGTTCTTGAAAATTTTCGCATTACCCAAATTAAAGGATTTTAATATTTAGGTCCATTTGCTCAATCAAATCTTGCCATGTGTTTTATTATTAATAATGGTCCAACTCAATTTTGAAATTCCATCAATGCGAGTTTTTATTATTAAAAAAATCATAGGCTAAAATTTGATTTGAGACCGCCAACACAGGCTTACTCTTCCGGCATCACAAAATCAAATGCAGACCACAGAATTTTCTTCCGGACATTGACATCCATGATATTCTTATTTAGAAGGGGATAACGGACGGCTTGGACCAAAGCCCCCCAAAGTTTGGTTTGTCATTTTTGGATGGATTGGGTTTAGAAGCCCGTTGTCCGGTTTGATCCAGCAAGAAAGACTAGTCTAAGACCGTAATTTGCCTTCTTCTTCTTCTTCTTCTCCTCCTTCTATTGTTTTCCCCTCTTGATGGGAAGACTGTTAAACAAAGTTAAGAGAATAAAAAATAGCCATAATCATATAAAACTCATCCTAATACATTAAAACTTGATCATAAATTCATAAGAATCTCGAACAATATTAAACAACAATAAAAAAAAAAACAACATTCAAAAATACAAAATATTTAAAAAATAATCACTCAGACCAAACCAAATCAAACCAAGTGGTCTGATCAATTGGTCTAGAAATCAATCCAATCCAAGTATCCAACCAACTAGTCTGGTTTGGTCTGATCTGATTTCATCACATGACTTATTTGGATTGGATCAGATTACCAGGGTTTTGCACACCCCTATCTGGCTACATATTAGTTCAATTGAAGGGTGAAACTTCAACTACCAACCTACATTTCTTTTCACCTATTCAGAATTGTTTCAAATCATGATACGGCAAAGCTTTCATTCTGGGCGTGCGCCACTGCTACTTGCAGAGGATTTCTTACCACCATATTTCTGCAAAAGTTTAAAAGAAAGGGGGCTTAATCTCGAGAACATGATATAAGGAATAAAAGCTTGCCCGTCCTAGACTTATATGTTAAACTGATACAGGACATCAGAACAAGGACAAAGCTGCAAAAGAATTTTAAGCATTCGAAACTCAACCTGCTTGCCAAAGTTGAACGGGATATATTTGTACTTGATCATGTGGGCAATTTGGCGCCTCATTGTGAGGGCAAAGAGAACAATCCAGTAAAAGAGTAATATAGGCCAAAAGACAGGAACATCAAAAATAGAAAAGAAGGTCATGACAAATGCTGTGCAGAATGCCTTTGTGATAGAATACCTGTAACCAAAACAAAAAATTGTCATCCATCAACAACATCTCCACCAAACTATTTTCCATGAGAAAATAGGCAAGCAATTTGGCAAGTCAGTCCCCACAATCACATTATCTATCTGACCAAATAGAAGGGATACACATGAAAAGGCCTTGGTAATATGCCCCAACATTCTTCCTATATGTATAATATCATTAGGTCCAATCCCCATTGAGAAATAGCGTTTTCCCCCTTCAAATTCTCGACATACACAGTCATAACATGTCAAACCTCACATATTTAGAAGACCAATTACCAAGAAGACAGGCACTGAAGCAGTAACTAAAAAGTATAAACCCTAAATAGTTTCATTAAGGCTCTCTAAGAGAGGGCCACTGATTGTCAGCCAGAAAGGTTAAAATGAATCTCTCAGCAATCATGACAGTAATGCAATATGTTATCTAACAGGCTAAAATTGAAAATAAAATGCCCAAATTACCAGAACTTAAATTCTGGAAGCCGGCGAATGAATGGCTTGAACTCATCAGAACCTTTTGTTGGCAGCATAGGTCCATCAGAGGGTTCCAGTTCTGGATCAACCAAAGGGGAGAGAAACCCAATCAACAGATTCAGCAGGTAGATTCCCAGACCATAAGATACAATGTAAAACCCTTGGACATAAAATACCCTCAAAGCATAGATTGATGCCAAAACCAGAGTTCCAATCCATCTATAGGTAGTATGAGGTGTGGATATATCCAGATAATGTTGAAAGATCTTGGACAAGTCTTGCCACCATTGGTTCACTGGTGCAGCAGCCGCGGCACTGCCGCCTCCAGTTCCCTCCATTCAATTCACAACTGGCTGATAAAGGATTCGTGTTTAGAACAAACCATTTATAGAACGACAAACATGAATCACGTCTGACAAATCATTTAACTTGTTAATGTGCATTAGAGCCCATACTTAATAACAAACAAACATGCCCTCGAGAATTGTAAAGTTCAAGAATGACAAATCAAAGAAAGCCCCTTTTTCGGGTGATATAAGAAAGGCCTTTTGTTGTATTGACCCACACCAACGAAGTTTAACATATCCGATAGCGAGAAGGCGAAACTAATTAGCTTTAATTGCCGAAAGAGCTTAATATATTATTTGAAAACAAGGTCTGCGAAAATTTATTTCCCCATTCAAGTTTCCATCTTACGAACCCTAACTTTTGTCCGAAAGCAACAGAATGATTGAATTGGAAGAGAACATAGATACAGAATCAGGAAGGAAACAGGACAATAGTAAAGAATAGGAGTTGACCTGCGCCTGCGAAGAGCGTTGCAGCTCGGGAACGAAGAGAACTGATGGAAGAACCGAAAAAGTGAAAATGTGCAGATCTACAAAAATGTCAATTTCTCGGTAAATTGTTTCCCTTTTTCATTTTTTATTTTGTTTGGTCTCTCATTCGTAAATATTGACTGACCGTTCTAAGTTCAAACAGGTATTATGCCGTTTGTTATAAAAATTCGTGGTGCTTTTCACTTACGCAGTGCGCAGTTCTTGATTTCTTCAAGAACTTGGCTACGTCCGTCTTAACTGAAGGTTAACTGTTATTATAAAATATTAAAATGGAATTGTTATATCAATTCTACTAATACTAATACTAATAAATATATATCATTAATTTTTACCAACATGTATAATAAAATTCTTCAGCTCAAAAAAAAATAATAATAAAATTCATACCAATCAATATTTTCTTAATTTATAAATAACCCAATCTATTTATGAACCATACGGTGTACAGACTCTCATATCACAAGTGAATATTCTACTCCTCCGGTTTTAAATGTAAGACCCTTATACTAGTGTGTATAAGGATCTTACATCTAGGACCGGAAGAGTACATAGCAAGTCTTCTAAAGAGATGCTCTTAATCTTAACTATTTCAAAAGATACTTCTTCCAATCTGCCAGCAACAGTCTTGATGATATGTTCGGGAAAAAATCACACTTCCTACATATTTATTACTTTTAATTAATTTTAACTAATATTTTTATTTACGTGATTTGATTAGTTGTTTATATCTCGTATAGAGTAAATCCCATATTATCACACCTTCATTAATACAAACTTAACCAAATAGGAGATTAGTATAATAGTGTAATCAACCCTAAAGTATTATTCATAAATATTATAATTATTTTAATCACCAAAACAAGCTATCTAGTGTAAGTCAGAATGAGAGGAAAAATTAAACTTCCGAAAGAGGCAACATCCTCCCACGAGGGCACTCTTCCCGTGAAGAGTATAGTGCATCAATCGCTTATCCTTGTTCGATTAAACATCTACGCAAAAATGGCCCTGTTACCACTGTGAGCAATAAACTGAGAAAGCAGCCTGACAGATATAATATTCCTTATTCATATCAGGTTTTATTAAATCTTCCTTTTGTTTCACAACACATCCTATGACTTGAGCAAGGGGTTTAGGGAAAGGGTGAGAGACAGAGGTTGAACCACCCATGACTTCAAGAGTTTTTCTTAAAACAAATACCGTTGCCACGAGCTATAATCTCCTTGGCTTATTGATTCTATATCTACTTGCCTTGTGGAATCTTCTATTTTACACATAGCGAAAAAGTGTTCTGCTGGCTTCAATGTAGAAGGTAGGACTCTGCAAATGCGATTCTTCCTACTCCACATATTAGAGTGTTTCTCATATGAGAATGTGTTTTTGTCCCCTGCAACTCTTGCAACCAGTCGTTGAGACTAATACAAGAGAGTGAGAGACTATTTATATGACCTTGCCATCTTCTATTCGTGCTTTCTCAACTATGATTGTGATTCCTGAGCGAATATAAAATCCATCTTCTGGTCTATCTGCTTCTTGAACTCCCTACAGACAAAAAGCATTTGAATGGGTAAAGATCATACTAGGTGCTACTCAGTAATACAGAGCTGGAAATCTAACCGATGAAGCTGACTCAAAAGTAAAAGGAGGATGAGACCAGTTGACTTTGCTTACATCTGTGTTCATGATAACAACATCTTTTCCAATCTTTGCATTCTTGTCAATTATACAGTTCCTTCAACAAAAGTAACAAGTAGCAATTAGATGTGAATACAATGTATTACTAGTTTGAGAAATGATTGCATGAATTTTGATCAATGTTAATTCCCTAACAATGTCAAATGTCAATAGTATGATGAAATAATAATAGGTAAGATTACCTAATTTTGGTATTCCTTCCTATCCCAATAGGGACTTCTCCCTCTGCCAGCAGAGAAGCAATTTCAGATTCCGTCTGGTAATAATCAGCTCCCATCATCACAGTGTCCTGCAAAAGGTGATTTTAGATGGGATGAATCTTACATCGGATTGTACTGTGCAGAGTCAAAAAGTTATGGCACTTTACCAGAAGCTCAACGCCATAATCCAGGCGTGAACGTTCACCAACAACGGAATGTTTGACTGTACATTCCCTCAAGAAACATCCGTGGGAGATTATTGCATCCACTATCTGCAAGACAAAACGAAACATAAGAAGACATCTCATGAGCTTAGTAACATGCTTTAAGGTACAATGTCATACCTGGCAATTATCGATCTTTGTTGGTGGTAAGAATCGAGGAGATGTGTAAATGGGTGTCTTAGGATCATAAAACTTAAACTTTGGATTCTGCATGAGTATAGAACAAATAAGATAACAGCTTCACATAACTTGCAGAAGTGATGCCAATGTATCTTTATCATAGTTTGTAAGAAATACGCAATGCATGTATTCATGCAATGAGAAGAATACTAAATATAAATGCCAGCCATTATTATCTTGAACACACCTCTTCAGTAAGAGCTAGATTAGCATCGTAAAACGACTTTATTGTTCCAATGTCTTCCCAGTACTCCCTGAAGAAAAATGCCTGTGAAACAATAGGCGTTGGGCTTTTATTGTTATCATTGTCATGTGCACAGTAATCCGGTAGCAACAAACAGGTAATAACAAGCTTGGCCGATTCCAAAAATTTAAGGTTAGCTATGTGAACTTGCATAAAGCAAATTGCACTAACCATGGTGCTAGATGCTGGTGAAATCAGTTCCTCAAAAGTAGCAGATAAGATTTCCTCCAGAATGGACAGAAACATTTAAGGGAAGATAAGCATATTGGAGATTAGAATCCATCTTACTTGGACATTCTGTTCCTTCACAGCAGCAGGAATGATTTCAGATCCAAAATCATTGGATGACGGGTATCTGTATTTGAGGAGGTCAAGTAAAACATCTGTCTTGAATACATAAACCCCCATGGATGCAATATATGGTGACTTCAATGCATCTTGGGGTGACAACCCAAGGAGAGACGTATTTACTTGCTGCAAGAAAACAAGAACCCGGCATATTGGAGCCAGATAAATAAATTATGATCATAATCACATTAACAAGACATAATGCAAAACTTGGTTAAGTGGAGGCTCCTAGCTTGAAGAAAGAAGGCAAAAGACCATGTTGAAACTGAATAGCTCCTGGCAGTGACCAGCTTTAGCAGAAATACCCAGAAAAGAATAAAAAAATTACCATTTCTTTCAAATCAACACCCTTTGGTTTTTCTGAAAATTGAATGATGTGGCCTCTTCCATCTACTTTGACCAATCCGTAATCTGATGCACGGCTGAAAAGCAGGAAACTTGCAATGACTCTTAGGTAAAAATAAAATTTGAATTTTTTTTGGTTTTAGTGTTTTCAGGAAGCCAGTAACCCCCCTTTCTCATTTGTAGTTTTTTCTTTCCCAATGAAACAAAAATTTAGAGTTAAAAAAAAAAGAGAGGTAAACTAGCCATCAGCTGAAGTTCGTGAGCAGCCAATAGATGGAAAATAGAAGACACAAAATCATTTAAGAAAAAGAAAAAAGGAGGAGGCAAGTCTAAGAGATTCAACACACCTATCGCCTGCTGCAGCACAAGAAATTGTAATATCAGCATTTGTGTCAACATGGCTCTGTTAATTTGTTATAAATAGATCAGAAAAAGAAGAAATGAAGAGATAGTAATATTTTAGGATACAATTACTTGGTATACCTGCACAAGGTCCATGTAATCCATTCGGTATAGATGATCCCCTGCCAAGATCAATACATTCTCAATGTTTGAGTTCTTGGCATCCTACAACAGTCAACCTATCATTGTCCGGTTCAAATAAAAAAAATACATAAAAAGTGCAGGCAGTGTATATATAAAATTTCTTGCTCACCTCAAGCACCCATGTATATTGTCTCACAGCATCTGCAGTTCCTTGGAACCAATTCTTTCCTGTTTCTCCCGGAGTTTGAGTGGCTGCTAGAACCTGTCCCCATTTTGGGTTTGTCTTGGTTAACACTCAATAGAAATTTGCAAACGTGAACCCCAAAAAAATTGAAGAATTTCTCAAGTGACTTGTATTTGCCCATTAATCTCAGTTGCAGGTAGAACGAAGTTTCTCTTAATTACATACTACAAGATTCTACAACTCACGGATAATTTATCATTTCATTAAAAACCATCTAATCTAAATGATGGCCATTGGCCAACACTGTCTCTTTGACCCACCCTTTCCATGAAAACATACCTCCACAAATCCATCCCCAAAGTTGATGCCATTCCCAAAATAGGTGCGAGCGATGTGACGGTTCAGAGATGCAGAATTGAACTGGGTTAGAACAAATATCTTGTTGATGCCACTGTTGATGCAATTGCTCATCGGGATATCTATTAGCCTGTAACATCCTCCAAGAGGGACCTGTAAAATGCAAATGGATGCCATATTATCTCAACAACGAACTTCAAAAACTCTTAAGCTTATACAATAAGACAGGAGGGACATGATAGAGACAGTTAGACGCCGTGATAAGACAAAATATGTAGTGTCTTGATATAATTTGTAGGATCACGTTGTATCCAATATAAATGTGATGTTTCTGCGGTCACAAAAGTGACACTGCATAGTAAACTGGTAAAGTAAAAAAGATGATGAGGTTAAAAGAAAAAAAAAAATGATCATCATATATCATCATATTCTCTCACATCGCTCTCGCTCTCGC